TCACGAGTCCCCTCCTCCTAAACTTTGTACTTGGTTTTTTGCTGACTTTTTGGTATTTTGACAAAAGAAAAAATAAGTGTATTATATTTTGATAAATCTAAGTGTCGGACTATATTTACTTTCGTTTATGTACGATACTATTTGTCGAAGCGTCATGTTATATAGCCTTCCTCGATAAATGAACTATCTATCACAAACAATATTTTTTTCAATTAGACCTGTACTTCCCGAGTTTAGCTTTTAACAAACAAACAAACTATTTAATTTTATAATATATAGATTGGTGATTTTGAGAGTTTCGTACATATTAGGTGACAATTAACGGATCTTAACTTAAGTACTTCTACCGAAAATTAATAGGTTTGAGACTGAAAATTGTAAGGATTCCTAGCCAACCCCGTATCGGAGGATGTTGGTGTACTTTGTAATTAGCAGCAAAAAGTCTGTGTAATAGTTATAATTGATTTGAGAAAATTATATGGTCAAGTTACGATAGGGCTAGTATGGACAATTTGGTCCAAAAGTCCCTTAAAGCAATAAAATAAAGCAGCCAAGTGCGAGTCGGACTCGCCCATGAAGGGTTCCGTAGCAGCAAGTAACATCTAATATATAAAATTCTCGGTTGGCGGTGTTTGTGATTCATTTCATTTTCAAAAGCGTTTATTTAATAAATTTTTACAACCATAAATACATTGAGTATTACTTACAATATTTATGTTGAAACATGCATTCCGGTACATTACTTTTCCAGACTAATTAGTTGCCTATATAAGTATACATACTACACACTATAAATATTATATCATAAATTAGTAAAACTTATTTAAATTACAATTTTAAGATAACTATGAACACACTTATAAATTGTTCACTTATAACATGATTCGTGTTTGTGATTAAACTCCTCCGAAACGGCTTTCCCGATTCTCATGAAATTTTGTGTGCATATTGGGTAGGTCTGAGAATCGGACTACATCTATTTTTTATCTCCCTAAATGTTAAGGGTAATCCACCCCTAATTTTTTTTTTCAATGTTAGAATATTTATTTTTTATTTTTTTTATGATACAGCATTAGTAAATACATACAACCCTAAATTTTCACCCTTCTACCACCATCCCCTATTTTTTTATGGCGGTACGAAGTTCGCTGGGTCAACTAGTATTATTATATAAAAGTTCTTGTAGTTCGTTGTAACTTTGATCGATTTTTTAATAAAAGTGTATTTTTTTTAATTGATTTGTGATTTATGACGTATTAAATAAACTAATTACTAGATCTCGTTCAAACCAATTTTCGGTGGAAGTTTGCATAGCAATGTATATCATATATTTTTTTTAGTCTTATCAGTCTCTCATTTTAGAAGTTACAGGGGGGGACACATTTTACCACTTTGGAAGTGTCTCAAGCGCAAACTATTCGCAGTTTAGAAAAAAAAATATTAGAAACCTCTATACCATTTTTGAAGACCTATCCATAGGTATCCCACACATATAGGTTTGATGAAAAAAATTTTTTGTGTTTCTGTTCTAACTATTGGGACCCCCAAAATTTCTTGATTTTTTCTATTTTTGTGTGAAAATCTTAATGCGGTTCACAGAATACATCTACTTACCAAGTTTAGTTCTTATAGTTTCGGAAAAAAGTGGCTGTGACATACGAACGGACAGACGGACTGACGTGACGAATCTATAAGTGTACAGTTTTTTGCCATTTGGCTACGGAACCCTAAAAAGTACTTATATCGGCATGCTGTCGTCTCCATGAGGAGTTAAAATAAAGCCTACTTATTCGCTTGTAGCTATTTCGACGCTGTTACAACAAATAGCAAAAATTTATGGAATCAAAATGTCAAATGGTCCTCACCATTCAAGAAACGTGATTTTTTCCTCGTTTGTTGTTTGACCTAGAATTGAATCTTGTACAATGGCACTTATCCGGTATTGTTTCCACGCTGTAATAATACACTCAAGAGCAGTTAAAAAAGGTCGGTTAAATGTGCTTGATTGTTGCTGTGACTTAAAAATAAAATTATATTATGTTGAATGCTTTTGTACTTATTCGAAATTCTAAAAATTAAAAAAAAACGGCCAAGGCCAAGTCGGACTCGCGTACCAAGGGTTCCGTACAAGCTAAATTAAAAACCTCCACGCGTTCATAAGAAAAGAGGTAGAAATTTTCAAATACTCAAAAATATTTTTTATTATCTGATGTAACTAAAAATTTACGGTTTTCGCAATTTTTTCTTTATCTGTACTATAACACGTTACTTCGTACCAAATTTCAAGATTCTAATTTCACGGGAATTACCCTGTAGGTTTGTTTTCCCATGCGAGTGTCGATAATTTGCGGAAAACGGCATAAACGGCTGTATTTTTTGATTTCTTTGCCTTAGAAGTTTGATTTTTTCACAGCTCCAAGGGACACTATTATAGTCTGATAGTATATAGTCATAGTCGTAGTAGTAGTCTGTATAGTATGAGTATTAGATATGAATTTCAGTTTGATACCTCCTCGCGTTCCTGAGAAAAACGGTCTTGACAGACGGCCGGACGGACAACAAAGTGATCCTATAAGAGTTCCTTTTTTCCTTTTGAGATACGGAACCCTGATTATATATTTGAGAAGTTATGACGATTTCTAAAATGCCCCTAAGAATAGGTTTCAGCGATGTATACACTATTTATTTAGTCAATATTTTAATCACTATTATATCTTGTCTTCTGAAAAAAATATAATCAAAAATTGTACGTTATGTTAGTTTATTTTCTACATATTTAAATAAGTTAAACGAATAAACATTACGACAACATGAAAGTTAATCGGTTTATGTACTAAATTATATTAATAATAAATGTAAAGAAATACGAGTATTTAAGTCGAGAGAATGAATAAGCCTATTGAAATTAAAAGTTTGACCAAGCAGGGCGACATCCAGTTTTAATGTAATACTTAATTCTCAACATGTCAAACTAACATCTTTATATAAGTAACATAATATAAATAACAGAAATATTTACTTTTTTTTTATACTGATCGATAGATAAAAACATATCAATAAACAGATATATATAAAGAAAAGTTTACTAGAAAAAAATCCACGCAGACCAGGCAGCGGACGGGACTCGAACCCGCATCCTTCGCTATCCGGGCGAATGCACTGACCATTATGCTACCACGGCCCTATTAGCCGCGTCGAAATTTTCCTAGCCTTAAGCTGCATTTCTTCGCATTGTAGGTAACCCACAATGTCAAATAATCTTAAGAAATCTTTAGATTTAAACATCTAGCAGTTAAATGCTTTAAAAAAAAAATCATAGATATATATAAGATTATAATTTATCATCTTAACACAGCTGCAGGTCCACGTCGCATGAACCTGTTGATCTAGGGGGTCATTAGCATCTCATCACCATCATAGAACCAGGAATGTTTAGACAAGATTTCGTATTTTATTTGTTTAGTGTACTGTATACAGAGAGTCCCACTGTTTTGTCACACGGAGGGAAAGTATATTAAATATTGAAGATAGGATAGTTTACTGAAAAAATACATCATTTTATCTTAAATAATAAGTAGAACTGCATTCACAGTTTTTCAATAATCGTCTGCCAAAACCGGGATTTAAGGTCGTGAAATGTAAAAAAAACACATGTATTTTATGATAACCGTCGAAAGGGAATCCTGAGGATTATTTTTTCCTAAATAATAAATCATTTTAAATGAAAGAAAAATCACGAAATTGTTTTTTTTATGAATTAAACACAAACTATGTACCTACAATAAAAAAGAAACGGTTCTAGGTTTGTATAGGTATCGCTTTATTTTTTCACGTACTAGTTAGTAAATACTTTGAAATGATAACATTAGCTGTTGGAAGCACGGAAAAGCAAGAGTATATTTACCTGAAAAAAAAGTCGGTTTTACGGGCGAAGATTTTACGTGACAACGTCTTTTTCTCGGTAGAATATTTATTGATATGAATATAATTAAATTGCACAATAGGAACAAGGAATTGAATGAAAATAAGAATTGCACAAATTTTAACTATAGAAATATATTTTGTTTACTAAAACATTGTACATGTAAACTTAAACTTAACACGAGAGACTCATCGTAACGTTACCGAGCGTTACACTTTTTCATAAGTGACTCCCAGCCGCAACCTAATTTAAGACGTTGTCACGTCAAAAAAATCCATTATCTTCCTTTCATTTGAAATGTTATGTTATTTATGAAAAAATAATCCTTATGATTAACCCAGTTCTAGTTATTTTAAAAATAAAATGATGTCTTGTTTCAGTAAAATATCTTTTAATCAATATTTAATATACTTTCACTCCGTGTGACAAACCCGTGGGTCGCCCTGTAATGCCTTCGCGCACCAAACTTCGCTGTGTGCGTTGCTGCGACTATTCACACTATGAGTTCTATTTTCTTTCTGGGACTGCCGCGTACTTTTGTCCTATATCGTCTTTCGGTGTCCTTGTTTGGTTGGAATGAACTTTTTGTACGCGATACTTTTAATGTGTCGTGTGCGTTACTCGACGCAGTTGTAAGCGATCTATTTCGGCGGAGGAAAAAAGTCCACGGACAAAAGTTACTCGTCTGCGCAGGCTTTTTCATTATAATGATACAGCCCATCAACAAACTGATGGAGTGGCATCATAGATTATAGATTTTTTTCTCAGCAAAATCAATCCGAAGGAAAGTATAATCTTCGTCATCGATACAAATGAGAAATAATGATAATGCTGTAGTATAGATTTGTTTCAATTACCGCAATCCTAACCCCATGACATGAAAATATTTTATCCAAATTAGCGCACAATTGCTATCATATCGCGATCGCTTATATCAATAACAGAAAAACAATCGAAGTTCATACATTGCTACAACAAATTATTATTTTAAAAATTCCAGATGCCATTTCTACCGTTTTCCTCGTCTGCGGATGCGTAAGCGCAAGAAATCTTCGGCCAATAATCAGTCTGCCCGCGACCGTCACAAAAAGCAGACGCCATGGCCAGCAAACTTTTGTGTTTTTTGACGTTCGTCGCATGGTGCGGTGCCCAAAGAGCTGGCCAGTATATGGTGCCTCCCGCGAAACTTGAAGCTATCTGGCCAAGAGGTCTCAGGGTTTCTATTCCAGGTAAGTCTGGATTAACTAGTTTAAGGTCATAAATACTTCCTTCTTGTGAATCATAAAGTATAGTGGAAAAACGAAGTAAACAAACAACAAAAAATACGCAGCTACTATTAATATCTCAATTAAGTAGGTATAATGATTTTGTTTTTCACCAATAGTAATATTGTGGTTCTCGCGGTGATTAAATTGTATTAACTGAACGAATATAACATGTTTGTACATCCCAAGCCGAGTGGTTTGTAGGCCGAGTTTCAAGTCGCCTACTCGAGAGGTTCGAATCTCTGTGGGGGCAGCTGTTTGAGTGATGAATACGAACATTTGTACTCTAGTCATGGATGTTTAATATGTATTTATATATGTATCAGTATATGCATTCTGTCCGTTACCCTGGTATCCCATAACACAAGCCTATAGTGCTTTCTTTGGGGCTAGACTAATTGGTGTGAGTGTTGGAAATATTTATTATTATTCTAATTTAAAATGAGTAAATGTCACGTTTAAAATTTACCTAAAAACGCGAAGTTTATTATGAAACCGTTTGAAATATTACCACCAAACAATTATAGATCCCATTAAAGTCATTTTTGATGTTTCTTTGAACATTTACCTCCTGTTGCGTTGATTGTAAATAATGTCTGTTACAAGTTACTTCACATACATCTTTATTTAACTACCTAATTAATATAAAAAAAGCTATTTTAATTTTAAGAATAACAAATTGGTGTTGTTTTCTTGCGTGAACGGCTATCATTGTTTTTACAGAAACCTTTCTTTTTACAATCAGGGATATTAAGTCAATTTATTTATATTCCTAAGTTATATAAAAATAAAATATTGCTAGCTATCTTCTCAGGAAGTTCAAATAAAGCTTACAGAATTGAAATTCAGCATGAAGAATAGCATCTGGTTAAAGATGGCTTTCCTAAAATTCCCACGGGGAATTCCAAGTAAAATCTTATATAGAAAAGATACATGTCTTACAACTTTCTAACTTTACCGTATACTTTAGAGAAATCCCGGATTTTTCTATAAATCCTCTGTGACTAGTGCCAATAACACTTAGATATTTCTAGGTATCCCACTTGGGCCCTTAATATTCCTCAAAAAGTTACTTTTGTATAGCAACCGTTATTAAGTGATCTAGTTGATTATTTTTTTATTTATTTATTTAAGCATTTAACTGCTAGATGTTTAAATCTAAAGAAAAGTTTACTAGAAAAAAAACCTTCTTGTGGGTTACCTACAATGCGAAGAGATGGCGCTGCCTTGCAGCTTAAGGCTAGGAAAATTTCGACGCGGCGAATAGGGCCGTGGTACCATAATGGTCAGTGCATTCGCCCGGATTGCGAAGGATGCGGGTTTGAGTCCCGTCCGCTGCCTGGTCCGCGTGGATTTTTTTTGTAGTAAACTAATCTAGTTGATATTTAAGGGCAATTAGTGTCTGATAACATTACAATAAAATGACAAGTTATCTCGATCAGTCAGAGCCTGACGACAGTTTTGGATAACTTGACTTGAAGAGACTTGATTCCATCGTTTACTAAAACTACTAATTCTGGATTAAGATTTCAGTAACTTTAAATTTAATATTTTTTCAAATTAAGAAAGAACAAGTTTATCATTTTTGTTTTTTAAAAAAATAAAGGTAGGTATAACTTAACAGGACAAATATAACGAACACAAAAACAACCAATAATTTATTATCGATTCTTTGACAATAAATGATCATTACACACAGCATATTAAGTTTCAAAACAAACCAAGAAATGGACACGTTTGGGGAAACATAATTATGTAATCAATTTCATTATCGACAATTTAGCCGCAAGGTTTTATGACTATAATAAATAATTCAAGATGCAATAAACACTATTTTTCCTGTTGTTATACCTAACTTAGAGGGAAAAGATATTGCCTTTTTTTATAGTCTGTTGCTCACAAACACATAATGGTGTAAATGATTTATAAATGAATTATAATGATTGCATTTATCAGAACTATGTTGTTGAGTATGTATTTGACTTCACCGTGTTGGTCTTGGCTATAGTTAGTTAGGATATATCCAATGCAATAAGGAAAAAAATATCTTGAATTCAAGTTTCACAACCAGCCAAGATCGGCAACTATTTCTGATATGATCTGGTGTGCTAAATAAGGAATAGGGATGATGACGTGGTAAAGAAAACGGAATTCTGTTTAGTCCGTCAGTTGTATTTACCAAAAAATAAGGACACTTATTTTTTCTATTTGTGAATCAACCAAAAAATTACAAAGATAAAGCGCATCAAAGTTCGGGCGTGGCAATTCATGACGTCACTTCTATGTAAAAATTGTACCAAATTGTGTCGTCATGCGACATATCAAATCAATACACCTCTGCAAATCTTAGGTTTAACCTGTAAAAATTTGCTTAAATCTATATAAATAATACTTCAATTCCTATTTTTTATAATTGAACTAGCGGCCGCCCGCGACTTGTTAACTTAAGTATTTTGATAATGCCTCAGGAACCGAATACTTTTCCAGGATAGGAAGTATCCTAGGTCTCAATCCAGGTCATAAGCTACATGCGTTTGAATTTTCACCCAAATCCGTTTAGAAGTTTTTACATAATTGAGCAACAAACATACCAAACATTCAAATTAATATTATTAGCTGTTGGTGTTTATGATAAAAACTCATGCAATTTTAAGAATCAAGTTTCTTGAATGGTGAGGGCCATTTGACATTTTGATTTCATTAATTTTTGTTATTTGTCAAAATGGCGTCGACATTGCAAACAGCGAATAAGTGGGCTTTATTTTAACTTCTCATGAAGACGACAACATGCCCATAGAAGTAGGTACTTCTGTTTATTTATTATTTTAAGGGACTTTTGGACCAAATTGTCCATACCAGCCCAATCTTAACTTGAACATATTTATAATTTTCTTATAATCAGTTATATGACTATAATTTTTAAAAACGATTCTTTTTGTTTCTGTTAGTATCTGCTATAATAAAACTGTAGGATGCCGACGTCTGCTGTTAAGAAAAAACCTTCGATCTTGAGGTCAATGGCACAGCTTTTGCATAGTACCTACCGAGCTTCTTAATCCACTCGCGGATAAGCTAATAACCTCTCAAACCATTAAGCGCAACTCCGTTTTTTTAATAGAAGAAATAACTACCTTCTACTTATTAAAAAAACTAATACTTATATTGTTTTAAACTTTCATGGTCACTAACATCTCTTATCTATTAGACAAGTCCGTCCGTCTGTCTGTCTGTGGTGCTGTTTCAGCGGCCAAACCGTAAGAGATCGATAAAGAGAATATTTAAGTTATAAGTTCAGAATAGTCTGATAAGACTACAAACCGGATTTGAGTAACGTAGCACTTCCGGTTTTCGAGAAATCACGAATTTCAAACGAAACCACACAAAATCTCCGAAGTTCTCAATTAATTAAATACATTTTTTTTTAAATCAGGTTTTGGTGAACATTTGGTTCACTGGTTTGCTAGTTATAGTTATTAGAGTAACTCCGTGATCGTGGCCCTTGCAATAGTGCCAAAATATTGACAAAAAACAAGGTTACATGGTGTAATTGCGCTAATAACTAAATAAAAAAATAACTGACTTAAAAATACTTAGTCAAAGGAAGTTATGGTAATGTAAGGATTATTTATTCTTATTGGCAATTTTATAAAAAAAAAACCCCGCCCCGTCTGCTGCCTGGCCCGAGTTAATTTTTTCTAGTAAAATTTTTATTTTTATATAGAAAAATACTTTAGTTTTAATCAATATTTTGAAGGATGTTACGAGTACAAGACTCGTCTACGTCACTCATACGTCACGCGTACATTATGTGTTTCCCAAGTGCAGGTGGCTCGATTGAGCAATCGTGTTGAAAAGTGCTTATTAGACAGATTTAGTTAATGTAAAACCTTCGGACAGTTTTGGGAGTTGCTTGAGCTTCAATCGTGGAAGCATCTTGACGTATAGTTTGTAAGACCTGATCATCGGGATCAATTAGTATAAGTAATTTTGTAAAACATTTAAATAAATCAAGTTATAATTTAAAGTTTAGTTTTTAAAAACCCTACCTGACGGCTCAATTCCGTAATTGGCGCAGTCGGTAGGATAGTCGAGTCAGTGCGAGCATCATACTTCGATCAGCCTGATAGTCGTGTCGTCGGCGTGTCGACTATCTCTACGAATCTACGCGAAGCAGTCGTCAGACGGGAAAGAAGAATCAACTTCGAAAACCGGCGCTAATCCAAAAATCGATGGCCCATCACCACACTAAGCTAAGCATCCTGCTCCTGTGAGTTTTATTATATAAGTTACGTATTCCTATTGGTTGCCAGCGGCCCCTTTCCTGTCTCCCGTAGGACGTAATAAGTTAATTAAATAAGTTTGTTTTAATAGTTAGAAAGATTTCTAGATATTCCTATTGGTTGACAGCGGCCCCTTTCCTGTCTCCCGTAGGACGTAATAAGTAAATTATTTTTTTTATAGTTAGAAAGATTGCTAGTTATTCCTATTGGCTGACAGCGGCCCCTTTCCTGTCTCCCGTAGGACTTAATAAGTAAATTAATTAAGTTTTCTTTTAATAGTTTAGAAAGTTTTCAAGATTTTTTTTCCAAAGAAAAGTAGAGATATAGGACCGAATCTGCGGCGCAGTATTCGTCCTAATTCTAGAGAATTAAGGTTTCATCGCGAAATCGAATTATCTACATTAGAAAGCATAGAAGAGGAAATGGCGACCGAACAACAATCTGTAGCTTATTCAAACGATATGACAGAAAGGATTTGGAAATCTTTAAGACTAGTCCCTGAGTTTGATGGAAATTCGAACATTTTAATTAGATTTTTGAACATTTGCGACCAACTGATTTTAACATATGTTAATCCAGCTCCGGGAAATGAACTAAATAATTACGCTTTAATTAATGGAATTTTAAATAAAATAACCGGGCCTGCTGCTAAAACATTAGCAACAAATGGCATCCCCCAGGACT